AGTTGTCTACATTAAAAAAATGCAAAAAAGAAAGGACCACGGTTCCTATTTTCTAGCCAAATATGCATTAATGTAATTCAGAAATGACATTGAGAAATTTTCACCAACTAAAGTGTGACTCTCCTGTTATTTTTTTTTTACGTTGCGAAATTTGCTGCGTTGATTGCTCATGTTTGAGTTTATAATGGCCTGGTAGTATTTGGAGAGGGAAATCGAATGCAGCCCGTTAGAAGTATATGCTTGCAGTAGAAAACAAGTTATGAAGAGTCAAAGTGGTGTGACTCTTTTTTTTTAATTCTGACACCTAAACCTGTTATCGGACAATTGTTATAGTGTTCTGGAGCATAAAAGGAATCAATCTCGACATGGCAGGCTTATTTGCTCGCATTAGAAGAAAGTTAAAAAAAGCGTCTTTAAAAGGTTACAATGCGTGCACAAAAGTAAAAGTGGATATTTTTTACTAGCACATCGTCTGAAATTGGAAAATTTAGTCAAATTAAAGAGCTTGTAGATGCTAGGACTAACCGTTGATTTTTGGCAGTTTATATTCGGATGTTTTTTTATATGAAAAAATACGGAGCACCGTCGATAAAAGAAATTGCCAAAAATCAATGGTAAATCCAAGATACTTAAATTTTGCAATTTGCTTTCAAACATTTAATGGGCTACAAAACTAAATACCAGAATTTTGTCTAAAGATGCTGATCAAGAAGATAGAAATTATGGTCAAACTTTGCTGATTTTTCATAATTTTTGCACAAAGTCTCAAAAGTTGTTCCCCAGTCGATAATAACCGCTTACCTTTTCGTTTACAGAATGCATTATTTTAACATGTGCATGTCATGTCAATAAATATAAAATTTATTGCCATTGCCAAAATTGTCTTGAGGCGACTTGTATTGCGTTACTCCATTGATGAAAAAATAAGTCCTTCCCAAAAAATTCCAAGTTTTTGCTGGGTCATAAAAGTACATATATACATACATATCGTCGTTTAAAGTACACAACCGCGTATCGGCATTCTGAAAAACCGCGTATCTGAAATTTGCTGCCGAAAATTGGATTTGCTCACACAAGCTCTTGAATCAATCATTTTCGATTCGTCCTGAAATATGCTAGCCAGAAATGCAATTGCTTTATAAAAAAGAGAACCATTTTGAAATATGAATGATTTTACCCTCTACAAAATAATTTATGCAACCTCACATACGCGGTTTTACATTTTGTTCATACGCGGTGTTATACTTTAAACGACAACATGTATATCTCACCGTCAAAAAATTTGCGACATAAGACAATACGACTTCTGGTTGAACTATTGAATTGTACAGGGTGGGCCAAGTGATACGTAGCAATGTTAAACACGTATAACTTCTTTATTTTTACAACGCTTTTATCAACTTGCAATGCTGGGTGTCCAGACACCATTCGTTGCTATAAAACCTTTGCTTTGCAAAGATCCTATAAAACAGTCTAGTGCAACCTCGTCGGTTGAAAGGTAGATGTCGCCCTATGCACTACGTACGCTACAGCGGAAATGGACGACACGCCATTTCTTTAAATGAAATTAATTGATGCTCGTATGTATGTGCATACATATGTATATGCATGTGTGAGCACCAATCTATTAATATCGTTGAATTATTTTAATATCTATTGCAAAGTTTTTTACAGACAAGACTAAAAAGTAGCAAATAAATAATATAAAAAAAAACTTGTTAATATACAACGCTTTTATAAATGAACTCAAGAATAGAAAATAATATTTCTCAGTCCCATAAAATTTGTTTTGATAAATTTTGATTTTGAAATTTTTAAAAGCGTCAATCTCATAAATGGTTTATAATAACTTTTGCTAAAGTTTTTTATGCAAGAAAATTCACAACACAGTCGGCAAAAAAAAAAAAAATTTAGTCATTGGAATTTTTAGCAAACGATAAGCTTACACTGAGTTATAGTAAAACTGAATAAGCTATAAAACTACTTACACTAAATTTGTATAGAAAGTCGAATTAAAAAGCGTTAAATTTTAATGGTATTGTAGTTCTTAATGCTTTGCACAACTTTTATAAAAAATTAGTAGACACTAAACAAACAAAAAAATAGTCAAAACTGCTAAAAATGTTGTGGTGCTATTATTTTGACCAGTACTATATTCGTTTTCCTATAATATGGTAAAATGTTAATAATTTCTTTTGTCCTGGTTTTGATTTGCGCCTCCGTATTTGATCTCAGTTGAGTTTTTATGAGTATGAGTTGTCTATTTAAACGAATATATTTTGTTTTGGTTGTTTTGTAGTATTATAAATGTATTATTATAACCAATTTCACTTCTGTGCACTTCAAAACAGACAAACAAAATTCGAATTTAATTTTTCTATATAAAAAATAAATTCAGATTTTACCTGACGCTATTCAAGTGGAAGCAAGTGTATGTATATAAGTATAAATAATTCAGACGCATAAATTAATAAGTTTATTTTATTATTATGAGACGTTCTTTTTGATGCACTCAAATTAAAAAAAAAAGTATATAATCTCTTTAATTTACAAAGTAATGTATAAGTTTTATAAAATTATTAATTATTTCCTTTCCCGACGATAGTACTATCGATGTTTTCAACTATCGATTCTAAAACTATAGAGTGGCGGTACTATCGATAGTATCCCAGCTATACAACTAGCCACACAAATTGATTTTGTAGGTATTGTTTTGATGTGGGATGAAGCGCATTTCCAAGCAAAACTGTAGATTGTGATGCTCTGAAAATCCAAGGGCAAAACACCAGCACCAGTTACACCCATACGGGTGCACTGCTTGGTGCGGTGTTATGGCTGAAAAATTTATCGGCCCACATTTCTTCAACAATGACGATGAAACGCCAGAAAATGTATCTGGGGCTTCTTACAGAGCAGTGATTGACAACATTTTGCGGCCAACGGCAGAGCAGCATCCTAATTTGTGGTTTCAACAAGATGGAGCGACTGCGCACCCTGTATTTGTGAATATACATATCGACTGCTGAATGGAAGATGGACCTATCTCGGCAGCCAGTTTGAAAGCGCCCTATATTTCATAATTCGATTCAAAAATGCCCTATCTCACTTCAAAATGTATTGCAAATATGCTGATATAGGGCCTTTTTGAATCGGCAGCTGAGATAGGGCGTTCTTCAACCAAATTCTGAAATAGGTTGTTTTTGACAAGTTTTTTGGGATAGGGCGTTTTCAAACTGGCTGCCTAGATAGGTCGATCTTCCACTCAGCAGTCGATATGTAGGTGTACATGTATGGCATATGTACAGTGACGGGCAAAACTGTAACATGGTGTAACACTTTTTACTTCAGCCATTGCTATCTTTCCAAGTTCTAACGACTTTCATACTTTTGCTGTATATTCTTGTTGGTACATCCCTACTCCCTCTCTCATAATGATTTGAAGTCAATACAACAACAATAAAAAAACAGCAGACAAAAATGTAAATTAAGGCAGATGTTACAGTTTTGCACTCATATATTTTTAAGAACTTTTTAACAACTTTCACGAAAAAAAGAACTACTAACACAATATTCAGTACTCTTTTGCTTGTTTCAGTTCCTGGATGCGATTTGGCATACCTTATTTGTATCTTTGTAAAAATTCTGGAGGTATATCCTTAGTTTGCTTTCACAGCTCATGTACTCGATTTTACGGACTTTGATACTTATTAAGCTGTGCTTTTAGTTGATTTCGCAAATTCTCGATGAGATTCATGTCCGCGGTTTGTGGAGGTCATTTCAAATTAGCAAATTTTTGCTTTTGTATCCAGTCTTTGCGAACATATGCAGTATGTTTTGGGTGATTTTTCAGCAGAAACTCTCATTTTTCGACTACATCTTGCAAATTTTGTTGAAATATGAACAGATACTGTTCCTTACGCATAATGCGTACTAACGGACCAACAAAATTTTTGAAATACAACCCCAAACAATTAAGATCCTACCACTGTGATTCACAGTTTGCAGTACATGATTCGCTTAGGCTTAATTTGGGTCTTTGATCCAATACCATGCCCGGCCATCTGATTGAAAGCGATTAATTTAGTCTTGTCAGACCAAATAACCTTCAATTGAAACTTAAAAATATGTTTTTTATTGCATTCTGAACGGCCTAACATATCCCAATAGGCAACGGTTCGGTTTTCGTGCGATGCAGCGAAATGCTGCCACACTCGCACATGTATTATGATCAAATTTGCTTTTTTCTTCTTTATGATGCCTTTGCGCTCAATTTGGCAATTCTTCGCCTCGCTGTCTATTGATTTGCATTAAAGTTTAATACCTTAAGCGGTTCTGTAATAGTAGCTGCATCGCTACTTGCTGCTAAGTTCACAAGATATCGTACCGTAATATTTTTTAACAGAATTCCTTTGTCCTTGGGAACACTTAGGCTATATTTTTTCTAAGTCTTAACATTTTCAAGCTGCAAATTCCAAAATTATTTGCCACTTTTCGTGCGGTTCCGCCTTTCCGCAGTAAATCTATTATTTACATTTATGGTTCCTGATTAACTATGTTATTTACTGGTGATCACTTCTTCAATAAATTACAATATAGAAAAAAGTCATCTGACTTCCAACTAAGTCAAATGCAAAACTGCGAGTGAGTGCAAAACTGTAACATCTGCCTTAATTTACATTTTTGACTGCTGTTTTTTTTATTGTCGTTGTATTGGCTTCAAATCGTTATGAGAGAGGGAGCAGGGATGTACCAACAAGAATATACAACAAAAGAATGAAAGTCGTTCGAAATTGGAAATATAGCGGTGGCTGAAATAAAAAGTGTTACACCATGTTACAGTTTTGCTCGTCACTGTATGTATAAACCAAAGGTACAAAATCAAATTATTTTCTTTTATTAATTATTCATAACAAATTAGAGTATACAAATACAAAATGTATGCACTTTTAAGAATATTGTACAAAAAGTTAAATGATATGACATGATGATTATAAAAAAAAAAAAATATTTGGTGCGGTTACAATACTTTCATAAAGAATTCAAATCATATAAAAATAATTCAAAATTTTAAATGAGCGCCACTTTCCGTGGAGCGCTGTTGTTGGTAGCATTGGCGTTAGTGACAGCCGATGACGGAGATGGCACTTGAAGGTAGTTGGTACTCTGCGGTGGTATAATTAGATGAGCGATATGATGCTGCTGCTGCTGAATAGTAGCGGACGTGGGCAAGGGCTGCTGTGCAATAAATGCAGAGAGTTGAGTTTGCTGTATGGTTGTTGATGGCTGTTGTGGTTGTGATGGTAAATTTTGTTGTGCCAAAGTATAAGCATTGAGAAGGTGTTGTTGCTGATGGTTGTGCAGTTGTTGGTGGTTGTGAAGAGACTGAAAACTCTGTTGTTGTTGTTGTTGTTGTTGTTGCAGCTTTTGTTGACTGTGCTTTCTCTGTTGTGTGCTAAAGATGTGTTGTTGTTGTTGTAGCTGTTGCAGTTGGTGTTGCTTATTATGATGTTGATATGCCGACGGGTAGCGTATCTCATCGTACAAATGCGAATCCGGACTACCTTTGCGCGACTTTGGCGACACAACTGAATAGAGCGAGAGCTTGCGTGCATAATCGTAGGCGGTGGTACTCGTATTCACAGACGAATTATTGCTGGGTGCGTCATAGAATTCGGGTCCTGCGGGGCGAGAAGAATATCAAATTTCAACAGTGGTTCATGGTTACGTATACGACCTGGACACTTACATACCCTCGATTTTGTTGCGCACCATTTGCGTGAAGGCTGGTAAATCGGGCAATGGCTTGAGGAAACTTTTGCCGCCCACGCCAGCCATTGCGGTGGCATCCGTCGGGCTGCTAGCGCCGCTTCCGGTACCCAATTCCGCTGCCTGCCCACCGAAACTGGCATTGCGCGCCGCCAAAGCTGTTTCGACGCGCTGCTTTTGCCAATGGTAACGTCGATATATGTACAGCCAACTAAATCCGATTGCAGTAATGATAATCAAGAGTATGATGAGCAGCGTGCTGAGCAAATTCGCATCATGTTCAGCCGCAGTGGGTGTGGGTGTGGGCGCCAAGGTGTGCGTAGGCGCGTCAAGTACACCGCTAATGCCGGCCAAACTCAATTTTGCATCTTGCGTAGCACCAATGATGGTACCATTTGCGCTCGTCGGCCAGTCTGCGCCCGCCGCTGCTGCAGTGATTACATGTATCACCTCTGGTGTCTTTCCACCCGCACCATGCAAATCGCCCAGCAAACCGCCAGCCGCAACGGGTTGATGAACAATAATTTTCGGCGTATGCTGATCCTCTTGCTTGATAACGATGACCTCGGGCGCGACAGTGAGATGTGGTGGTATGCTCGTGCTGGTCGCTATTGTGACAATTTTCTTAGCTATACGATCGAGTTTGTGCGTTATATTGGCGATGGTAGAGTTGAGCGTTTGTATCATGACGTGCGTGACATTGGGCACCAAGGCACTTGTAGCATCTCCGCAGGTGCCGGTTTGTGGGTGGCAGCGCTTTTCGGCACAATCGCACTCTTTGTGGCACATGACGCCATACGTGCCAGTTGGACAGGGTAGCTCGCAACTGGGTGAGAGGAAACATTTTGCAATCTTTTTTATTTATTTATTTTTTCTAAACAGCATACTTACAACTCGCCAGTCCAGCCTGTGGTGCAGTGACAGATGCCAGATTTATTATCGCAAACCGCGCCATTTTGACATTTGCACTGTTGCTTGCATTCATCTCCCCAGTGATCGTGATCACATCCTGTGCAATGGTGTGCAAAACAAATTGAAATGAAAATATTTTTACATTCTGTTAGTAAAAAATTCGTTTTAAGCGTAAATAAATTTGAAACCCCACTCACTTTGTGTACAATGCGTTCCGGTATATCCCGCCTCACAGCTGCACACATCTGGCGTCTGACAAAAGCCGCGCCCACAACCGCCACGACACACAGGCTTGCAAACTGTATCGTTGATGGAGATATTCCCCTCATAGCCAGCGCAGCAAAAGCGAATAGTGCGGGTTTTTGTGACATTCTGTAAAATAAAATAAAAATGTGTAAATATTTAATGAGAGTGCCTAGGAATATGCTTCGATTTTAAATTATGTTAACTAATTTCGCACAGCGAGTCATAAAAGTAGAAACACAAAGTGTGATCGATCATTATAATGCGATTAAAAATTAAAATAAAATGAAGTAAAATAAAATAAAACATGACAAAATAAAAGATAACAAGATAAGATAAAACAAAATAAAAAAATATTATGTTAAATTAAATTAAATTAAATTAAATTAAATTAAACTAAATGGAATTAAATTAAATTAAATTAAATTAAATTAAATTAAAATAAATTAAATTAAATATAAAAAAAGAAAATAAAACAAAATGAAGTTAATAAAACTAAATAAAATAAAAATGTAATCAAATTAAAAAATAAAAAACCAACTTAAATAAAATAAAATAAAGTGATTAAATAAAATTTCAAAGAGCTACAAAGAAATTTAATAAAAAACTTATAAAAACTGAAATAATATAAAAATGATGAAAAATAAAATAAAATTAAAACAATAAAATAAAATAAAACGAAATAAAATAAAAAAATTAAAACCCTCAAACGTAATTTTAATGAATAAGAAATAAATAAATAAAAATAAAAAAATTAATTTAAATGAATAAGAAATAAAAAAATAAAAAAAAAAATAAAATAAAATTTTATTACATTTAATTTAATAAAAAACAAGTAAGAAAGTCTAAGTTCGGGCGGAGCCGAAAATTAAATACCCGGCGCAATTATTAAACATTATTAACAGTATTTAGCTACCGCTACACGATAAGCCGGGGTGTATAAATTTTAAGTAAATTAGCGTCCTTAAATTTCGAAATATTGCAGTTTCAAGCATTTCTGAAATTTATTGTTATTTGAAAAGCGGCCGTAATTTTAGTCCGATTTCAATAATTTTCAACGCTTTGCTTTTATGTGGCAAGCACAATAACCATACCGAGTTTGGTTCAAATTGCTGGAACGATTAGCGAGATACATATATGTGATCATAAGTGGGCGGTGCCACGCCCATTTTCCAAAATTGTATCATAAGCGTACTTCTTGGTAAAAAATTGTTGCAACCATCTATTTTGAATAAATTAGCTTTAATATTTACTGATTTATCGAGGATTTCGTATTTTTCTAAATTACCGTTATATGGGATGTGGGCGGGGTTATTGTCCGATTTTAAAAATTTTCGGCTATTTGGTATGTTGTAGCAGGACTAACAACTGTGCCAAGTTTGGAAGAAATTGGTGCAGCGGTTACCAAGATATACACATGTAACCATAAGTAGGCGTGGCTACGCCCATTTGCCAAAATTTTTTAATATTCTTATTTTTCGTCTAAAACTCATTGCAAATATAAATTTTGAGTGAATTATCTTCAGTAGTTACTAAAATATCGCAGTTTTCGTATTTCTTAAAATTACCGTTATATGGGAGGTAGGACGTGGTTATTGTCCGATTTCGCCCATTTTCAATACCATCCGTCCTATGCCCAAAAGAAGTCCACGTACCAAGTTTCGTTAAGATATCTCAATTTTTACTCGAGTTATCGTGTGCACAGACGGATGGACGGACGGACGGACGGACGGATGGACGGACGGACGGTACAGACAGTCACCGCTTAATCGATTTCTCTTTTCATTCTGATCATTTATGTATACATTTGTCTATATCTATCTCGATTCGTTTTGCCTGTTACAAACAACCGTTATGTGAACAAAGTTATAATACCCTTGTGCACAAGTGCGCTCGGGTATAAAAATACAATAAAGTATCATAAAGTTATTGACTTTGTTCCTTAGATTACTTTTAATTAGGTAAGGTTGCGGGGATTGCCTCAGTCAAGGGCACACCTGAATCGTTACATAGTTTTCCTTTATAAGACCTTTGTATGTGTGTATTATATTATAACTAAAATTTTCTTTGAAGCAGTAACTGCTAAAAAAGTTAAAGAAAGTACAGCGTGCCTTAAAAGAAATGCAGTGGGAGAATCATGACACTACCAAAATGCTTTAGCTTCATCAAATACTGGACAGATTAGCAAAAAGTGTGGAGACGATTGCACCCGATCACGCTCCAGACAGGTGCTACAGTGTAGATTAAATGAGATACATATGTATATTCATTCCATCGGGTGCATTCCAATTAGACAGTTTACTCTTAAGAAACCCACCAAAATCAATAGCTGGCTCTCACTTAGTGTTTGCCAATAAATTATGTATATTTTATAAAAGACTGAAAAATGCAAAAAAATTAATTAAAAGTCAGCAGCTAACAAACTGTTTAACAACAAAAATCTTTATTTAAATATATATGACCGATAATAAAAAAATAAAAAAAATACCCAAACTACTACCCAACCACGGAGTTAAGTATGTATTTTGAAATTATTGTCCGTCCACGCATGTCATTCATGTGTCTGCATTGAAATTTCCTGCTTTTATTAATTCAGTACAATCAACGCCACTCTCTCAAATAAACATCACCATCACCGCTGCACTACCACTGCACCCCCGCCGCACCACCACTGAATTCCGCTTCAGCACTGTAATCTGCAGTCAGTGCCGTTGAATATTCAAACCATTTTTGCTGCTGTCCATAGCTAGTCGCACCACCTTCCACTGCTGGTGGGTGCTGCTCAATTAACGTCGCGACGTCACCACCAGCCCCACCCGCTGATTCTGCATTGCCTGTCGCGCATCGCAACATTTTTCACTAATCTATGCTTGAGTTTGCTGTTGGATGTTTTTTTTCTGATTTTTAACTTTTTTTTTTATTTATTATTATTCAGTTTGGTTTTGTTTACGCTTATTTAGCGTTCCTTGTTATGGTTGGCTTTCCATTTCGCAGTCACCAGACAATGTGTCGACGCATCTCTGCTATCTGCTGTTATTGTTTGTGATCTATTGTGCGATGCTGAGTCAAGCGATCTCTAAATACAAACTACTTAGCGTATTCTTTTCGGTCTAGTATTTTTTTTTTTTTATAGGAAAGACCTTTCTCTAAATGTTTGGATTGAGATTTTTATATACATACTTATAACCTTTTAAGTGGTGGACCTCAAATGCTTTTGTATAAAATTGGTGTAAAAAAATAACCGCAGAGTTATTCACGCAAGGCAAATGACTGATAAGCGGTTGGATTAATCTAGACTTTTGAGATTTTGAGTTTTTTAATGCAGTGTTAGAACCACAGGCTAACGGTTAGCTTAAATTATGATTTAGGTTAGATTGGGTTTAAGTGGCTGCCTGCAACCAGTTGGGGTACCCTTTGAGGGTTCGTTTCGTTTCTGTCCGCTCACAGAGAAATATAAGCAATTTCATGGGTGTTTGCTGCATTTCAGTCCGTCACACATCTTCTAGCCCCCGACATAGCAAGACAGCAACGGAGATAGGTTCTATGCTTTTATATTTCGGACAATTGGTACAATGGTCAACATCTGCGGCCCTATTAAATAATTTTTTTTTAATGTTATAGTTTGCTGCTGGATATCTTCAATTCTGCAACAAGAATTTCTGCCGCATTATTGCCAGACTGTTCTAATGACCAATAATATTGCAGCAAATTCAATTTCTTGTAGCCTTTCCTCCACATCTCGCCACATACTGATATTCAAAAGGAAAATGTCCTTTTAGTCCAGCGAGTTAAGATAAAAAATACAAACTTCGGAAGATATACATAGGTGAAATGCCAGAATACCACATCGATACAAGAGCTGCTGGATCTTGCCATTTAAGATGCTGAATGAGGTAAAGGGTCACAATGAAGAGTTTTATGCGAAAATCTTGTTAGTGGTCATCTTAGGAAGTTGTAGCCAAGTAAATTGTCTACAAAAAATATAAAGTTACTTTTAGGCAATTTCCTGAGTAGGTTTCACGGTACTCGATGATGACTTTGGCTATGTAGTTTAAAGCCACAAAAGAAACGACCTTGCAAACCGCGTACTATTTCATCAAATTCAAATTAAAACTTTCAAGCATAAAAATTCAAACAATTTCTAACATTACTGCATTGTATATGTACGTATATTATATAGGTTAATACTAGTAGGTTAGCAAGTAGTATACATACATGCGCATGTATTAAACCCGAGATTAGCTACTTACGTTACAATTAAAGCTAAAAGTCAATTAGTCATCTACGCATAAAAGTATGGTTTAGGGGTTTCGATTACAAATCGCATACAAAGGTGCTTGGTTTTATGAATTTTTGTTTGGAATTCCGCATTATTTAATACAGTGATACTACAAAAATACTGGGCACATGTAATCGTCATATGTATGTATAAACGAATTTCATTACAACTACAACGCAAAAGAGAAAACGAAATTAATATTTCAAAACAATTGAAAGCGAGTTGACGAAGATTGAAAAGAAATGCCTTAAAAAAGATTACAGCAATGAAGGGTTTAGCCACCTGTTTAGTTTCCAAGTTACAGCAAAACTTTGCAACAATGTAGGATGTATTAGCTTTAGCTATCTTTCTGTTCCAATATTTCGCTCCGTTTTGTTGTTTTATTTAGCACTTGTTAGTGCAGTAGGTAAGGAATTCATATCTATGTATATACATTAGGGTGGTCCAACAATGCATGTGAGAAAAAGAAAGTCCGAAATGTAATGCCCTTACCTGCTAGGATTTCTCTATATCGCCTATATATAATCCTATTTTTATTTTGAAATCAAAAAATCTTTACAGGCTGCTCAAGGTGCTTTAAAATTTCTATGTATTTTATATGGAAATAAAAAAGTTTTCGTAGAAATGGTATAGCATTCTTGAAAATCAATATCTTTCGATCGGAAAACTCTATTTGTCTTGAGGCGACCTCCAATAATAAAAGCTAATTGTTTATTTTACTATTTTGTAGAGCTAACCGTTTTTTATGGGTCCCCCCATTGCATTTTTTTCTTTCTTTGATTTGTGGAGACCTGTAAAAATAGGAAATATTAAAAATTGGATATTTCTACTGAAGATAAACAGTTTTCCG